AGAGAGAGAGAGAGAGAGAGAGAGAGAGAGAGAATGGACCCAGGAGTGGTGGCACATACCTGTAATCCCAATTACTCAGGAGGTTGAGGCAGAAAGATCACAAGTGGACCTCAGACTGGATAATTTAGTGAGAACTTGTCTCAAAATAAAATAAAAAGGGATGTGGATATAGCTCTATGGAAGAGTGAGGATCTTTGACCGGTTTGTTTAAAACAGATGACAGAAATGAGTGAGATACATCAGCAAAATGCCGTTGATAGCAGTCCAGGTCAGCAAATGGGGAAATAGCTGGTTGCTGGATTAGAAAAGAATGCTCATAAGAATTAAAATTAAGAGATTAAACTTTTAAATGATTTTCTGAAGCTCCTTTTTTTAAAACTGAAGAAAGAAAGAATAAATAGGGATAACATATATTACAGGCAAATCAGTTCCCTAGCTTTTGAAGGACATGGGTAATTCATTTACAATAGCATTCTGGGGAGAGAAGGAAAGGGTAGCCAGGCTGGTGACAACTTCGTGCAGCTCCTAAGGTAGCTCTGTCACATTGGTAGCGATGGTACCTATTGCTTGGTACTCAACCTGTCCTTCACAGGTGGCAGTGGTAGTCCAGTGTGGCTGGCACAGAATTAGTAAGTGCTTCCATTTGCCAGTTGTTAGCCACATTCCAGGCACTGTGCTAACCAAATCACCTGTACTGTCTCCTTCCATCTGCTCTCCTGGAAGGAGGGAACTACTCTCATCGCCTTTCTACAGCAGAGGACAGGAAGGCTCAGGAAGGCCAGGTGACTTGGGCCAGATAACAACTCTCAACATCTATGCTTAGCCAGAAGAGTAATGATACCAGGATGCCCTGAAATGGGAGAGAAGAAAAATGAAAGAACATCAGAGAGCTTAAGTAGGGGAATTCTGTTTTGTGGAAGAAATGTTAAGGAAATTAACAATAGCTCTCAACCAAGCCTGTGTTACCCTCTTGCATTGAGAGGCCCTAGAAATCACCTATTCAGGAGACCCCTTTAATGAGCTGTTAGTCTGGGCTGGATGCAGTCAGTGTACTTGACCCAGAGCATAATGCCTGTACCTGAACAAAACTGTTATTTCTACTATTCATCTCAGCATCTCCCATATTTTATTATTCTATTTGCTTAATTATCTTCCTTGGGAATATCAATTATGTTTAGGTTCAATTATGTTTTGGCTCTCCTTTGCCCTCATTGTCTATTGTTTGCTTTAGTATAATCTTGCTATGTATGAGTTCCTCATCCTAACTGCCATGTGCCTACCTGTGTTTGCAGCTTTTGTGTGTCTCTGTGCATATGGTGTGCATGTATGTCCTCACACGTGGTATGATAAGAAATACAGTGAATGGTTAATTTTGAAAATTGATCACAGTAAAAAACACCATGACATTAGTCCCCCTC